CTTATCATTAAAAAAAACCTGAAGTTTTTGTCTGAAACTAGTAAACCTAGCTATATCATATTGACGACTATTTTGTTACAATAAATGGAATAGTGCAAAATGTGAAAAATTACAAAAACACACACCTGTTTCAAATCATATTCTCTATACTGCCTGACGAAGACAATGAGGCACAAGTAGGCATTCAGGCCGTCACATATGAAGAGAGGGGAAAAGATTGTTGACCAGGATGCACCTAAGTGCCCTTCAATTTTGGCAGCAACAAGAACTGAAAAAATAAGAATTGACAGCAGGTGCAGGAAGAGTTCAAATGCTGTCATCCGAGTCCATTGTATAATTTCTTTAAGTCTGAGAAGCATTGCTCGATTTCACTGAAAATATTTGTAAATAAATAATGTTAAAATTTATCAAGGAACACATTCAATTTTTCTGAAGACTGCTTATATATTGCTATGATCTATGCATTTTTTGGTCACTTTCTTTTTAAAAGTACTACACTGTTTGGAATTTAAAGTGCAAAATAAAATAAAATAATCTGTCAAAGAAAACATGACTATCTTAAGGTAAGGTCACACTGAGGATTTTTTACTTGGATTATCAACTTTCTGTGACCACGGGTTACTCACGACAACAAAAACAGGATCATCGTTTCATTTTCACTGGTTTTTTTTAGTGTTGCAGTCTGTTGTCTCCTTGCAATATACAGAAACAATGCAATCATTCTTTTTTCAATTCTCATGCGTTATCACCAGCTGACAGGTCATACAAAACACAAAGAATTTAATATAATCAGACACGTTTATAAATTTAGTATTCAAAACTAGCCATATTTTGTATTTTGAAGATTAAAATTTGCGAAAAATTCAAGTTTGATTTTATTGGATTGGGCTAGACAAAAAAAAAAGATTTTGTAGGAGCAGTGTCTTGTTTGTAAAAAAAATTGAATTACTTTAAAAAAAAAAAAAAATTTTAAGTTTTAATTTTCCCTTGCATGGGTGTTTATTATTAAAATCATATTTAAAAGAAACTGAATTTAGTCATTGAAAGTGACACATGCAGCCACAGGTTGCTGATCTTAGTGCTATTTCATAAATTTAAAATTGATAAATATAAACATAAGATTTGCATTAGATGTCATAGTTCTTTCTGCTCAGTAAAAGAACACCTTTGTGGGATATGTGTAAATGGATTCTCAGCATGGATTTACCACCGAGCGTGGTGTTTGAAACAAATCAGCAAAGTGAATGTATCTTTAAAGCTAAACAGTCTAAAATAGATTAGTTCCATGGTTTAATTAGCTTTATTTTTAATATTATTTAATGATTACAACCAATCTCTCATTTCATCCATCCCAAATGTCAAACTTGTTGATTAACAAGCTAAAGATGCAATCAAATGTTTTTACTACAATTTTGTGTTATTAAAATAGATCATCACATAGTAAAATGTATTTATATATTTATTTATGTTATAATTCATTTTTTTATGGGGTGGGGGTGATACAAATCCTTCTTCTTCTATATCTTAAGGGCCCACGATCAATTTATTGATCATTTTGGCTCCTCGCATGTAGATGGGATTTGCAATGTTTCTGTTACTGGTGTTGATGAGGAAATCATGCACTAGGGGTTTGAAGGCTGGAGGCAATAGACACAAATGTGTCTAGTGTTGTCGCCTCAACCGTTCCTTTTGAAAGATTGTTCCAGTCCCTGATTGTCTTGGGCAGGAATGAGCAGCTCCTATACTGGGTTCTTGCTGGTAGGAGCCTGAATTGCCTGTCATGGCCTCGTCGCTGTCTATGGGGGAGAGGGACGAGTTTCTGTTTAATACTGGAACAGTGGACCAGCCCATTATTTATCTTGTACATCATGGAGAGCCTGGATTGTCGTCG